GCACACCCATTGATTGGATCTTCGAACACCACCATCCCACACTTCGAGCGCCAGAGAGAGAGAGAAACACGTTGAGGCCAGAGAGAGAGAGAGAAAACGGTGAGGGACTGAGGGTAGAGAGAGAGAGAGAAACGGATCTGGGAAACCCTAGGGAAATACTTGACTGGATCTTCGAGCGACACCGTCCCACCGTCCGGATCTTCGAGGGCCAGAGTTGTCGGAGGAAAAAGGGCAGAGAGAGAAAGAGAGATAAGAAAGGTGAAGAAGAGAGAGGGAGAGGGGGGAAGAAGGCCGACGGCCGTCACGGCTGAGAGGGAGAAGAGAGCAATGGGGATGAGAGAAGATTGAGACGGGATGAATGATGAAATTAGGTTTGATTTTGAGATTAAATTATTAATTTGGATGAAATTTAATTATTATTTAATTAGATATAAAAAAATCTGATTTTTGAAATGTTAGACTTGTGACCTTAATTTTGAAATTGAAAATCTAATTTCAAGTGTAGGTGTAATTTCCTCTTTTTTTTCCTCACCTTTTTCTTTGGGTCATTAACTTATAGAGCCCAAGTATTCGTTCTAGCGTTTTGGGACAGCTGCCCGCAGGCCCAATGAGTCTCCTGGAGCGACGTCGTTTTGTACTCACAAAAAACTAGGGTTTCTCCATCACCTCCTTTTAAACTCCACGCACGGAACCATCCGCAAGCATGAAGCTTTACAGTACATAGACTCTTAGCCTCTCGTTAGTTCTTCAATTGCATTCATATACTGTATGATAATTTATTCCTTTATGCCCTCAAGATTTCTTTGGATGTTATTTTTTCTATTTGAATTCCCTTTTTATTTTTATTTCCCCATGGATCGATGATGTGAAAAATAAACTGCGTTATCTATCTGAAATTTCCAAAATGGAGCTGAAGAATACCTTAAGATTGCTGAGATCCAATGTGTACTCAATTGCCGATTCAGTATGAAAAAAATTGCTTTTTTTTTACAAGTTATAAATTTTGTTTTTGTTATTTGATACGAGAAGGAGCATCATTGATGAGCTTTATTTGATTTGTTATCCTTGCACTTTGATTGTTAGTGAAGAAAACCCATGGGGATTCACGAGTCTGAGATGCTCATTGGCGATTTCTTTCTTTTTTTTTTCTTCATTTTGAAACATTTTTCTACTTTTCTGCAACTTCCTTCAAGGAATTGATGAACTCATACGTTCTGAGGTCCAAAATGCCCTCTCTGTTTTGTTGATAGTTTCTGATGAATTTGAATGAGAAATTGGCTCAATAAAATTCTGACCTTTACAACTATAGTTGTAAATAATTCTTTTTTTTTTTAACCTGTACCGAACATGTCAAAATGTGATCAATTAACCAACCAACAAAATTACTTGTTAGAAATATCCTCTAGTTGCTGTGTCGAAACATATAAATGAAATGGTTGAATAATTGAAAGATGAGATTATTCAAATGAAAAATGTTATTCATCTCCAGTGGGGATGCATCCTCAGTCTATATTTTAATTAATTTCACTTATCATTTAATGCGCTTATCATTTAACCAATCATTTATATCCACATAGATTGGGGATGCATCCCCACTGGGGATGAATAGCATTTTTCATTTGAATATCCAATACTTGTAGTTGGCTAACATTTAGAACCCGATGCCAACTTTGTTAACATAGGATTGGATTTTGTTTAC